GTCGGGTAACGATGCACGTTACACGTCAGGTAACGCTGCACGTTACACGTTGGGTAACAGTTTGAGCTGCAGGGTTGTCAATAAGAATTTGATCGGTTTTCTTTGACATTCGCTGTTGCTCTTTCCACATCTTAAGCAAATAATACAATTTTAAAAGTTCTTTTTAAAAAAAAAAACAAAATGACAAGTGGTTGTGACTGGAGCCAGATTCAACACGTATAAAACTTTATCTCAGGGACCAGATTAAATGTTCACAAAGGGCAGATTTGGCCCATGGGCCATGAGTTTGACATGTGCTCTGTTAACCGTGTGTTGAAGGTGATCACGTTGGACCCGGCAGCTAAGTTGCAGCAGTCAGATCGAACATCTGGCTTCACCTCACCCTCTCACTTCAGCAGCCCCTCGTTCCCTGCCCAGGCTCACCTGTACCTGAGAGCCGGGGCCTCGCTAACCCCTGACAGCATGGTGGGGGGCAGCCCCGTCACCGGAGACTTGGACTGCATCTCTGACACTTCCAGTGTTTCTTCTGCCGGACCTTTGCCCACTAAGATGCAAACCTCGTGGGCTGCACAGACTGTGCTGCCTGCTTCCAGGGACCAAACCCAGCCGCCCCCCTTGATCAGCCATCAGCGCAAAACCAGCAGAAAAGAATTGGGAAGCCACGCCCCCACCGGCACCCTGAAACCTTGTTCACCTCCGGCTGCTCCTCCGCTGCCTGCAGTCAGACCTTCATCAGTAGAAGATCCTGTTATTCTTTCTCTGTGAGTCTGACAAGCTTCTTTCTCTTTGATGCTTTTTATCTCGAGCTTAATTTAGACGCACTATAAGTTTACAGGAAGTCAGTTTTAATTCTCTCATCAAGTTGGTCACCGCAATTAAAAAAAAAGGCTTTAAGAGCTAAGACAAAACAAATATGCCTACTTTTCAAAACAATATTTCAATATTCTGAATGTTTCTAAACCATGTGTTAAGATCCGTTTACAGCTTTCTGCTCGTAACTCGTTCCACTGTTGTTGTTCTACACTGCCTGGCCAAAATAAAAGGTCACACACTAATACTTCGTTGGACCGCCTTTAGATTCTCTGTGTCTTTGTTTCGATGAACTTCTTCAACGTCACAAGATCTGTTTCATCCAGTGTTGCATTAATGTTTCACCAACATCTTCCATTGATGACGAGACACTGGTCATGATGGTGCATCACTTCTCCTGCCTCTCTTCTGACCCTGATGCACCATCACTCTGGAACAGGGTCAACCTGGACTCATCAGACCACATGACCTTCTTCCATTGCTCCACAGTCCAATCTTTATGCTCCCTAACAAACTAAAGCCTTTTTCCCAGTTAGCCTCACTGGTTAGTGGTTTTCTTAAGGCTCCACAGCTGTTCAGTCCCAGTCCCTTGAGTTCCTTCACATAGTGTTTAAATGTTCTTACTGTCTCTATGAACCACAGCCCTGAGTGCTGCTGGTGTTCTTCTTCCATTTGACTTCACCAAATGTTTAAATGATCACCGATCACGATCATTCAGGATTTATTTCCAGCTGCATTTCTTCCTGGAAGACGATGGGTCCCCACTGTCCTTCCAGTTTTAATAATGTGTTGGACAGTTCTTAACCCAGTTTCAATAGTTTCTAGATGTTTCCTCTGCTTGGTGCCGATGATTCGACCCTTCTCAAACAGACTGACATCTTATCCACGACCACCATGAGTCTTTCATCATGTTGTTGAAGAATGAGAAGCAGCTCACTGCACCAGTTGGAGTTAAAGAACCTGTTGCAGCTGAAACATCATCGTCCGTGCAGTGATGATCCAGCAGGAGGCTCGGACCTGTTTCATGAGCTACATCCAGGTGGAGACTTGTTTTTGACCAGGCAGTGAGTTTCAACACTTCGTGTATCAAAATGTTCGGCTCATTCAGGACATTCCTACTTTTGGAATATTTTAAGCTTTGTCGGCCATGTTTTTCTCTTTGAAAGTGAATGGAGTTCTTCATGTCCTTCAGTCTTTGAGCTGTTTACAACCTTTTCTGCTCATTTCAACTTTTTAGTTTATTTCATCTTTCTGCTGATTTAAGCTTTTTTTGTTTGTTTGTTTTTCAGGCACATTTTTTCCCTAATTTCAGATTTTTTAAAAATCTTTTCAGCCTCCACCTATTTTAGCCTATTCTGCTACATTTCAGCTGTTTCTCTTCATTTCTGCTGCTTTCAGCAAATGTCAGCTGTTCAAATTCAGCTCACATTAACCAGTTTATCCATGAAACCTTCCCAGTGTGGTTTCATCTTCAGCAGCTCTCACTAAAAATAATTCTGCAATAAGTATTCTCACTGCATTTTCACAGGAAATCACATTTCTCTAGTTTTTATTATTTTTATTTAACCTTTATTAAGCCATGTTAGTGGTTGGAAAGCTAATTTTCATTTACAACAAACTGGTCAAGATGCAGCCACAGAGCTTAGATTAAAAACAAGTGTTGTGTACGGTATTTATATATATTTAACATTAAACACATAAAAACAGAGATCACGGTCATAAATGCAGTTAATACGCTTTGGGATGCAAAGAACTGAAGCAGTTTTACTTCAGGTGTTTCTTGTTGTCCTTTAGGTTTGCACTTGTTTTTTATGCAACGCTATTTTGACCATATTTTAAAATATTTAGTATAAAAATATGGATTTATAATTTTTTTCCAGGTTGAGGCAGAACCTCAGAGAGAAGCACGCTCGACACGTTGCTGATCTGAAAGCTTATTACGAGTCGGAGATCCAAATCCTGGGAGACAAACTCAAACTCAAAGATTTGCCCCAAGATGTAGAAGAGCGCAATCGAGCGCTAACAGAAAGGTTTGTTTTGGTTTGTTTTTAAAATCTCTTATTTTCTCACACATAAAACAGTAGCAGTGTTACTTGTCTTAGGAGGGCGCTCGTGGCGTCTGCTTTTTTACTTGACTGGAAGGGCTGGGGTGGGGGTGGGCGGTTGCATTTCCCACAGTTGTCAATGGGAGGTGGTGGTGGGGGGGTGTTAGCGTAGCGCTATGTTTGTATTTCTTGTGCCAGCAGTTGTCAAGTGGGGGTCTCTGCTCCCCATCTGAAAGTGGCGGAGCTGCGTGGGGGGTGTTGGATTTGGTAGGCGGGGCGCTTGGCTCTGTTGACAGGGCGAGCCGTCCTCCCTGGTAATCGTAGGGGATCACTTAATTTATAAAATGAACAAATTATAAAACTTTTTTTCTAAACATTTAACCAAACTTATAATTGTATTCGGTGGAAGAACATCAAATGAGGTTAATAGCTTTAAAAAAAGAAAAGAGAAACATATGCTCTTGTTATCTGTCTTCTGTATGGCAGTACGTTTCTGCTGAATTAAGTTTCCTCTTTTGTTTCGCTCTTTATCTGCAGGTGCCAAAATCTAGAGAACGCTCTGGCTGACGCCACAAACTGCATTCAAGAACTGGAGGCAACAAACAACTTGCTGGAGAAAAAACTGGTATTCCTAAAATGATGTTTAATCTGTATGGATCAATCAGTCTCACTAGAGCATTAAGTGTGTGATATGTGGTAAATGGACTGCACCTATACAGCGCCTTTCTATCTTATTTCAAGATACTCAAAGCTCTTTACGACAATCTGTGCCTCATTTACACATTCAAACAGCTCTATACTAGATCTCTACAAAGATAACTGAACAAATCGTTCTAAAGAGACTAATCAGAGCTTCATCACATTCCTACAGCTCTATACTAGATCTCTACAAAGATAACTGAACAAATCATTCTAAAGAGACTAATCAGAGCTTCGTCACATTCAAACAGCTCTATACTAGATCTCTACAAAGATAACTGAACAAATCGTTCTAAAGAGACTAATCAGAGCTTCATCACATTCCTACAGCTCTATACTAGATCTCTACAAAGATAACTGAACAAATCATTCTAAAGAGACTAATCAGAGCTTCATCACATTCAGACACTGATGGGACACACATCAGAGGCAGTGAGGGGTTCAGTGTCTTGCCCAGGGACACTTTGGCATATGACTGCTGGTGGATTCGAACCCCCAACTCTCGCATTGGAGGACGACTGCTCTAACCACTCAGCCACTGGGTTATGGTTTTATATGGATGATAAATGTTGTCTTTCAGAATTGATTTAAAAATGAAACGATGCATAAAATACCCAACAGACAGCAAGTAATTCACTTCACCACTTGCTCTTGCTGAGCTCGGACTCTTTTCCCCTCCCCTCCCTCTCCGCTTTGCTTTGCTGCTCTGAGAAACTGCTCCTGAGCCTCTCTTCACTTCTTCTGAACCATAATTATGGACTTTTTGACCAGTTGGTCCCTCAACTCAATTGACAACATTTCTTGAAGAGAAGACAGGCTTTAGGCGAGCCGATGTGCCCTGTTGGCACGCACACAGCTGGATATCTCATCGACTGGAAGACTTGATGACGTGTCTATCTCTGCTGCCATCTGTGGATTTTAAGGACACATATTTAATTGGATTTACGATAACTGGTTCCTGCTTTTTGGATTCGGCTTGTTGCTGGTTTTATCTACAATCAAGGACGTCGTCGGCTGCAAATTTGGACCCGATCACGCTGCTTGCCTTATGATGGCTTTGAATTTTTTTGAAATATTTAGCTTTGTCGGCCATGTTTTTTTCGTTGAAAATGAATGGAGCTCTTTTTACGTCCAAACTTCTTTCTGCTAAATTAATATTTTTTCGAGTTTTTCAGCTACATTTTAGGTGTTTCTCTGCTAATTTTAGCCTTTTTTCTGCTCTTTTTAAAAATAATTGCTATTTTCCACCTTTTCTGCTTCTTCCAATAATTTCAACTTTTTTTGCACCTTTCAACTAATTAGTTGTTTTTTTTAGCTTTTTCAGCTACATTTTTTGCCAATTTAAGCTAGTTATTGTGCCTTTCAGCTTCTTTCTGATAAATTCTTTTTTTTTGTTTCAGTTAGTTTTGAGGTATTTTCAGTGAATTTTAGTTTTGTATTTTTTTCTGATAATTTCTGCCATTCGTTAAAAAAACTTTTTATGCTTCTTTCCTCGTCATCCTGCTAATTACAGCATTTTTAGTTTTTACACTTTCGTCTACTTTCAGTGTTTTTCAGCTCAGATTTTTTAGACTGCCTTTTTCATCTTATTCTGCTCATTTCTGCTCTTTTTGTTTTTGCACGTGCATTTTAACAGAACGTTACATTTCTGAAGTTCATTTAACTTTTTGTCTTTCAGCAAAGTCAGGAGAAGCTGCAGCACTTCAGTTCACAGTTCTCATAGAGCTCAACGATGAACCTTGATTGAAGAAGTTTCTGGAAATTCACCTGTTTAAACGACAAATGTTCTCTGTTGTTGTTGTTAGGCAGAATGGCCAGAGCGCTATGCTGTAGCAGCTGCTACTGTGAAGACGGTGCAGCAGCGGCTGGACGAGAGCGCACGTTCGGGCAAAGAGAAAGATGCTCTGAGCGCTCGCCTGAAGACCCGCATTCGGCAGCTGGAGGAGGTGGCTCAGAAAGCGTGCAGGGAGGCAGACGAGAAGGAGGCGAGGATGGAGCGAGAGTACGAGATGACGCAATGCGTGAGTCCAAGACGGAAAATGAAAAAATGTTAAAGGGACGTTAAACGTGTTCAACCACAGGACAGAGCTCCTGCTGATTTGTTTTTTATAAGCCAGTCGAAGGTCCGAGGCCAAGGTCACAACTTAGAAGTCAAGGTCAAAGGTTATACAAAGTCTTTGCTTGTCCAGGCTCTTGCTATAGATTGCTCTCTAGCAGTTTTTTAACGAGCGTATAAGTGCATACGTGCAAACTTGTCACTTTTCGGTGAAAATCGCAGATTTCAATCAAACGTGTCATTTACATGGATCATCTAGATCCAAAGAGTTTTGTTCGGGGGGTGGGGGTAGATGGCATACCGTAATTCTCCATTGACTGGACTTATAACGCTAAGCTAGTGCTGCATAAGTCGCACTAGCTAGCTCAAACAAAGCTCATGCTAGCTCGTAAGCGCTACTTACGTAGTGCTAGATTAGCGTTAAGTACGTACCAGGAGTTGTCAATCGGGGCGACTGGGGGCGTGAGAGAAGCAGAGCGCTACATCTGTAGCATCTTAGCTAGTGCGTCTGTGTTGTGGGCTGCTAGCTTAGCGCTACGTCAACGTTTGAATGATGTAGCTGTCTGCCACATACACCAAGATGCCCCCCCCACTACAGGCGCCAGGTTTGTCACTTTTTCATCCCTCGTGAGTTTGCAGGTATGGACAGTTTTAGCGTCAGTAGTCTCCAACAGTCACAGCTCTGTGAGATGCTGGTCTTCTCCTGAACGCTCTGTGGTCGATTCATTTTGGACTCTCTCGTTCTGTTTTCTCAGCTGCTCAGAGAACACAACGCTTTGATGACGGAGCACGAGGCGGTGAAGGTATATAAGGTGTTCTTGGATATCAGAGCTATGCCAGATAATTTCAGCTCTAAATGTCTCGCGTTTGTTCAGCGTCATGTAGTTTTACATTTTCTTTCCATCTACAGAGCAGCCTGATGTCCGCAGAGAGCAAGCTCGTTGATGCAAACAATCACATATCTGATTTAAAGAGGTGAGTAATGTGCGGTTGGGTGTAACACGGGCAGACTTTTCTTAAACTGTTGTTTCAGAATACACAGGTTTTATATTTATTAAATTATATATAATTGAACTTGCCCTCATTAGAGTCTGAGGGGTCATGGGAGTTTGCCCATCCAGTCTACTTGTGTTTTATGGACTTCGAGAAAACATTCACTTTTCTGATCCCTTAGGGACAGGGGGCATCGTTGTACCGCTTGTTCCTCCTGAATTTAAAGTTTGACAGTCGTTCGGAGCCTTCCTTCCAACGCCCTGCATGAAACTTTGCTGAGGAGGCTGAGAAGTGATCTCTCAGTACCTGGAACACATTGTCTAGTTCCAGTTTTTGAAAATGGTACCCATGACCCGGGCCTGTCACTCCACAGATGGTATCCTGGTCTTCTATGCAACCTTTAAGAGACTTATCAACCGTGACAGCTCATTGATGTCCAAAGCCTTCATCATCTCAGGGCGAATCTCATCCACACCTGGAACCCTGCCACCAGGATGTTTTTTGACTCCCTCAATATCCCCTGCCATGGTACTGAACTCATCTTTCTCAGTCCTCAGACTCTGCCTCCTCAAAGGCAGACGATGTCTAGCTTAGGTAGATACTTTAAAAGGTTTTCTTCCACCGCCTAACAGTATCCCCAGTTCAGGTCAGCAGGTCCCCACCAAACAAAGCCTGGGATGGGACCTCCCCTTCTGAGTTGTGGAAGTTTACCAGAACCTCCTCGAGGTCGATCGAAAGTTCTATTCATGGCCTATCCAACATCTTCCCATGCCTGAGTTTTGTCATCTTCAGCCACAGAAGCTGCAGTTCTTTTGTCCGCCCTGTACCTGTCGACTGCTTCAAGAGTCCTTAGACAGCCACCCCTAAAGGTCCCCTTCTTTTGCTTGACGGCCTTCATCACCACTGGTGGAAGTCCTTCGGTTGTCGCAGCGACAGGCACCAATGGCCTTCACACCATAGAAACTACCATGAGACTCTGAACAAAGCCCATTCAGATTTCATCCCTGGAACGTGGAAACACTCTCCCGGAGATGTGAGGTAAAGATCACAGACGGGGCTCTGCCTGATGTTCCTGGTTCACCTTCACTGTTGGTTTAGGTTTACTGTCCGGCAGCCTCCCCTACCACCGGATTCACCCTCACCCTCTTCATGACTCAAACCTTGCCCAGGTATTTTATTGTGTTTGTCTCTTTGTAATCCCTTCAGAGCCATCTCCAAGCTGGAGTCTCAGGTGAAGCAGCTGGAGCACGAGAACCAGGCGAGGATTCGTTACACTTTCCACAACACACAACCCTCTGGAGCTGGGTAAGGACTTAAATTAATGAGAAGAACCACAGCGAGACGTCATTGTCTTTGTGAGCTTCAATGATAAATGTTCAAATCGGTTTTACATTGTTGAAAATAAACTTAATACAATAAACAAAAAGCTCATCTTCAAGATCATTTTATCTTTGGAGCTGACTGAGATCTAACCGTTATGCCTTATCTTGAGATGTGTGCACAGTGTTGTGAATGACTCTCTTCTACTACCACATCAAATTTGATCTTTATAGCTGTAGAATGGATTGAGTTATAGCTATTTCTGTTTTTTTAGATCAGATGGCTGTGGCGGACATCTTCTATTGGGTTGGCTTAAAAGTTACTGAGTTATGAACGTTCAAGAATTAGGTTCTGTTGGTTATAGAGGTGTATTCAATGATAATTTCTTGAAAGTTTCAATAAAAGCTGTTTAATTATTTGAGATATTTTGATAACACACAGAGGGAATCGACACCAAATTGTTAAAAAATGAATTGTACAAAGGTTTTGTGCAGTCGATTAGCACTCATAATGTACTGGGGATCAGTCAGCTGCTAGGTGAGGACAGCAAAGCTCAGAAGACATCTCAAACAAGCGCCGTCTCATCAGAGCTAACCCGTGTGAAAAGATCCCACCCATCCCACCATGGACTGTTCTCTCTGCTGGCCACTGGAAAGAGGTCCAGAAGAATAAAAACCAGATCAGCCGGATCGAATCATTCAACACTCAAGGCTCTTCCATAAAACAGTTCCACAAAATGGCCGCACGGACCAGGTCATCTTTATGCTTGCAGTTTGGTAGGTAGGGCGCTTGGTTCTGTTGACAGGGTGGGGTGCCCTGCTTGTACAGTGGTAGGGGAAACACTGCGCAGGTCGACTACATTCTGTGTAAAAGAGGAAACCTGAGGGAGATTGGAAACTGTAAGGTTGTGGCAGGGGAGAGCGTGGCCAGACAGCATCAGATGGTTGTGTGTAGAATGAATGTTGTTGTGAAGAAGAGAAAAAGAGTCAAATCAGAGAAGAAGACCAAATGGTGGAAGATGAAGAAGGAAGAATGTTGTGATAAGTTCAGAGAGGAGCTGTTAAAGGCTCTGGGTGGTAAGAAAGAGCTTCCAGATGACTGGACTACTACAGCAACAGTAATTAGAGAGACAGGTAGGAAGGTACTTGGTGCGTCATCTGGACAGAGAATAGATGACCAGGAAACCTGGTGGTGGAATAGTGAAGTGCAGGAAGCTGTTCAAAGAAAGAGGTTAGTCAAGAAGAAATATGACAGTGAGAGGACTGAAGAGAGGAGACAGGATCATAAGGAGATGGGACGTAGAGCAAAGAGGGAAGTAGCTAAGACAAAGCAGAAGATGAATGATGAGTTGTATGGGAGACTGGACACTAAAGAGGAAGAGAAGGACTTGTACAGATTGGTGAGACAGAGGGATCAGGCTGGAAAGGATGTGCAGCAGGTTAGGCTTGTTAAAGATAGGAATGGTAATGTTATAACAAGTGAGGAGAGTGTGACGGGAAGATGGAAGGAGTACTTTGAGGAGCTGATGAATGAAGAGAATGAAAGAGAAAGAAGAGTAGAGGGCATAGAAACTGTGGACCAGGAAGTGGGAAAGATTAGTGAGGGTGAAGTCCAGAAAGCTCTGAAAAGAATGAAGAAGGTGAAGGCAGTAGGACCTGATGACCAGTGGAGGTTTGGAAATGTCTTGGAGTGATGGCAGTGAGGTTTTAACTCAAATATTCAATGAAATATTTGAGGGTGAGAAAATAACTGAGGAATGGAGAAGAAGTGTGCTGGTGGCCATTTTTAAGAACAAGGGTGATGTACAGAGTTGTAGCAACTACAGGGGAATTAAGTTGATGAGCCACACGATGAAGATCTGGGAGAGAGTTGTGGAAGCAAGACTTTGACGAGAGGTGACTATCTGTGAGCAGCAGGATGGTTTCATGAAGAGAAAGAGAAAGAGCACCACAGATCCATGTTTGATTTGAGGATGATGATGGAGAAGAACAGAGAGGGTCAGAAAGAACTCCATTGTGTCTTTGTGGATTTAGAAAAAACATCTGACAGGTTGCTGAGGGAGGAGATGTGGTGTTACATGAGGAGATCTGGAGTGGCAGAGAAGTATGTTAGACTGGTACAGGACATGTATGAGGACAGCAGGACGTGTATGAGGACAGCAGGACATGTATGAGGACAGCAGGACATGCATGAGGACAGCAGGACGTGCATGAGGAGAGCAGGACGTGTATGAGGACAGCAATTACAATTTATTTGAATTTGAGTCGTTAGGCTGATGGTCCTCCTTGATCATGTGAGCAGCTGGTTCTGGATGTCATCAACAAACTGGTTGATCCACCATGAGAAGGTGCTATTTATTAATAAGACTGAGTTTGTTGCAGCTCCTCAGAATGAAGAAGTCTTTTGGATGAAACGTTTCAACAAGATGAATCTGTCCAGAGGACCTGACTCCACCTTGTTAGATTTGTCTTCCTGGATTATTGAGCAGCATCTGGGCATGAATGTGAAATGTGTGTAACAGATGATCTCTGGTTTGTTTTCTGAAATATCTGCAGACTTTTCCACCACCAGGACTTGATGTTGTCAGCCAGTAAAAACAAAAGGAAGCCAGATGCCACCAGAAGGAGGTCTCCTTGTTCTCTGTCTGACCAGATGAATGGATGCAGGAAATTACCTTGTCATCAAACCAACCAATCAAGTGTCCACAAGAGATCATCGTATTCATTAAGCGATCACTCGTCAGGAACAGGAAGCTCTGTGGATGCTTCTTCTGCTGGAGGGAGCTGGAGGTGAGTTGTTAGTGTTTGGTTATTGATCATATTGTGTAGTGAATATGTAAGAACTTCCTGAGCTCCTGGTTTTGCAGGTGTGCATCTCCTCCAGAGTGTGAGCAGACTCTGCCTCAGGTCAGACTCCAGGAGCAAGGTGCTGCCCTGAAGGAAGCCAGTCAACGAGAGGGATCCAGCCCCCTGACGCCAATGATGAAGGCCCTGATAGAACTGGAGGAGACCAAAGCCACAGAAAGCCGGGCCCCTTGTAAGCACCATGAACACTCTCTCTTCTACTCCTATATGTTGTTTATTATTTACCTGAACATGAGGGTGAAGATGTTTTTATTTGTCTTAACTTGGATACAGTCCCTCCAAAAGTACTGGACCAGCAAGAGAAATGGGTTTTAACAACGGGTCCTGAGTAGTTTAGTTTAAAATATTTAAATGTCATGTCTTCAGTGAACGACAAAAACAAAGGACTTGGCTGTTCCAGTACTTTTGGAGGGGACTGTACATATGTGTTCCTGTTAGCAAAATATCTCACGAACCACTGGACAGATTTGAAAGTAACGTCATCATTTGATGTCGATCTACAACTGACTAACGTAGGTGTGGAGGTAGCTGAGAGTCTTATTCAGAGGTCTACACATTGCACGTCTTGGCCTGAAACTTTGGCGTTAACTGTTAGATTTAACGCGGTCTGTTTGTAAAACAGCTAAAGAACTACAGGGCCGAGGCGATGGTCGTCAACCTGAAGCGGATGGAATGACCGCGTGGGGGGGGGGGGGGGGGGGGTGTCTTTGTCTCTGGTGGAGGGGATCAAGTATCCGGGCGTCTTGTTCCTGAGTGATGGTAGGATGGAGCAGGGGATGGGTCGACAGATTCAGGCCTCATCCTCAGTAATGAGGGCGTTGCTTCAGTCGCTCGTGGTGAAGAAAGATTTGAGTTGAAAGGCCAAGCTCTGGATTTACTGGTCTGTCTACGTTCCATCCCTCACCTGTGGTCACAAGGTTTGGATCATGACTGAAAGACCGAGATCCTGGGTCCAAGCAGCTGAAACAGACTTCCTTAGACTGGCTGGGCTCAGACGTTCAGCTGGGGTGAGGAGCTGCGTCATCCGGGGGGAGCTTGGTCCTCGAGGGCCACTGTCTCACATATTTAACTGGTTTCCCTGATTCATTGTAAACCAATGACTGATTTACGTGTTCATGTGTGGCAGCCTGTTGATCAAATCAGGTGTGTTGGAGCAGAGGAACATCTAAAAAGCAGAACTGGACGTCCCTGGACTTTAAGAATACCCATCCTGGTCCCCTCGTCCAGAACAAGTCCAGCAAAGGAGAGGGTGCAACCTTTCTCGGGGACTTGGCTTCCAGAGCCAATGCTCCATCTGAAGCTGAGAAATCATCTCTTATCGGCGTAGTTGCGTGATGGGAATGGCATCGTTTTGTTCTCAGAGTAGCTTCGCTCGCCTCTTCTCAGCACAAGGCCAGGCCGAGCCTTTCTCACGGGAGCTTGAGCAAAATATGACTGGTCAGAAGTTCACGGGTGTTTGTTCATGCGGAAAAGCACTCGGACAGCATCGTCATCCTTCTCTTCATCTACTGCACGTCCAGCGGCCAGCTCCTGTGCGTGCAAACAACACGTATGGCTCTGAGGTCACGTTGGCCTAGGTGGTCAGGGGAGTGTGGCGCTCTCCTCACGACAGATTTGTGGCAGAAGAAGGGACTGAGTGGAAACCCTGGTGGGAAGAACCCCATGTTGTGACGTATACTGCAGCGGGAGGAGATCCCTGGAGCTCTGCGCGTCTCTTGGACGATGAAAGGTGTGCGTGAAAACGAACATCCTGCGTGACCACGAGCCAACTGTTCGGCTTCAGATGGAGTATGAAACAACCTTAAATGTCGAGACGAGACCGACTGTACTTCGCCGGTATCGCTCAACGTCTCCCACATCTCCAGCTCCTTTCGCACCAGAAACATTGTCAGTTTCCACAAGCATTGCTCGTATGGCCTTCGCTGATAAAGAACTGTTGGTCTGTGAAGAATTGTGTTTTTGATTGTGACGTTGTCCTCAGTCAAGCAGCCTGCTGAACTTCTGTGTCTGCAGGGGTCAGCCAGCAGAGGACTACCGTTGGGTTTGTGGAGCGAAAACACAAAGAGCTCCTTCACCAGCGAGCTCAACATTTTCAGGCAAAGAAGGATGCGGTCAAATCTGGAGGGGACATGGCCGCAGCCGAGCAAGGAGGTCCGAAAGGTCACAGTGGAGAAGAGAAAGCAGCATCTCTACTGAGAGCTCAGAGGAGCCTGTCTCCAGAGGGCCACAGATCTTCTTCACTTCCTCCTTCATCGCATCGAAACATTCCTACAACTCCGCCCAGTAAGTCATCCCAGAGCTCGGTTCTCCTGAGCCCTCCGAGCTTCCTCATCGAAAACGGGATTAGCAGCTGAAATGTGAGTCGGTCGTTTTTTAACTGACCAAAGAAAAATCTCCAGTTGTTAGATGATCCTCGTGTAGAAGGAGAACACGTACTGTCCCTCAATCCACCACTCAGATGTTTTATTAGAGGACAGCTGTCTGGTAAAGGAAGATTTTATTTACATCCATCATCCATCCATCCATCAATCATCATCCAGCCATCCTTCCTTCTTTCCATCTTTCCTTGCTTCCATCCATCCAGCCATCCTTCCTTACCCTCTTCTTCCTTTTTGGGTCACTGGTGCCCATGTCCAGCAGTCACTGTGTGAGAGGCGGGGCACACCTGGACAGGTCTCCAGTCCATCTAGAGACACCTGGACAGGTCTCCAGTTCATCTAGAGACACCTGGACAGGTCT